GCACACAATCTTCATATAAATTACCTTTCTGTCGTCTTCTTGAGTTCAGAGTAATGTAGTTGAATATAGCAAAGTATACATTTTTTTCTAATAACAGATGCGATTGGGGGAAAACCTGTAGGAATCTAAAATTTACCTTATAATTAATACTGACTAAAATATCTATATGTCAAAGGTCAACTCAACTTTTGTGGTTATGCAGCCATCATATGACTTCTGAATAGATAAAAATGAAATGACATTGTATGGAAAACTCGACCCTTTGCGGAAACTGTTAATCATTTAAGGTTTTAGATAATTATATATCCAAGTCAGACTTTTCTTAACTTAAAGGTGTCCATACGCTGTTTGATGTTGGAAACTTTGCTGTAATATGTTGTGCAATCCGTTATATTATTTTTTTAACGAATTACCAATTTCTCTCATTCCGTTATTTTCATTGTAATGTTTTTAATGATTAATTTTTTTTCATTAATATTATTTATTTGTACATATCGGATATGGACTGTTTAATGAATAGTAATTTTTATTACATATTAATGAGAAAATTACATGAACATTTTTCAAATCCATATGCTAGTACTGATATTAGTATAAAAAGGTCTTAGGTGTTTGAGTTACGGGTATATTAGAATCAGTGAAAGCCCTAGTATAAGTAAATATGGGTCCTCTATCTGTTATTATTTTTTTCTAAAATAAATATACGTTGACTTAGTTATAAAAGAGGTGCCGGTTGTGAAACAAAAAAAACGCTTTGATTCATATATTCGTATATATATGTAATGGAATTCGAGAGCACTGATTGCCAAAATCATTAGACTAATGTTTTCCGAATTAATAATTTTGAAAACATGTACTAGATAAATCGAGGGGAATTGGTTATCCATATTCATTTGATTTTGATCTCGAATTATATATCGAGGGAATGAATTATTAATCCGTGGGAACGGATTTTTTCCTCAAATTAATTTTTACTTTTTGTGTGTTTTTTTTAAATAAACTTTGCTTATGTTTAATGCATTACTTTTTTGCCGCCAATTTCTCATTCTTATTTTCAAGTCAATGTTTTTAATGATTAATTTTTTTTCTCCAATTCTTGTTCATCGTGACTGTTCTTGTAATATATGTCTTATTGCTGTTAATCATTTTCAGATTACTTTTCCAGGAAAAATTATTGATTTATCTGAGATGTTGACTAAATATTTTTTATGCAACAATAATTAATAATTATGCAATCTGTTATTGCTGCCTCTAAGTAAACACACACCGAATTTACCCCGTTCTATAAATCTTTAGCTCATTAATAATTACTGTTTTAAAAAAAAATATGTTAATTGTATAATTTCTAATACTTTTCCAAATAATTGTACATACACTCGATAAATCAATGGATTTGTTTCCTTATTAATTTGATTTTGATTGAAAACGGATCAAGGAACTTCAATTTTTTCTCTCATTATGTTGTTTTTTAAAACTGAATTATGTCATTTTCATAGAATTTTCATAAACAAATTCTAGTACAAATGTTATAATATTGCGGGTTGACCCAATCAATGAATTTAGTAACCTTGGTGGTAAATTAATTATGATACATCAATATATGGAATATGTTATATACAGATAATTATGCATTTGAAATTTCACTAAAGCAAAACTGTTTTGATTGTTGACATTCTACATGATATAACCCCATTTGTCAAACGATTTATGACTTTATTTCAAAACCATTGACCTTAATTGATGTAAAATAATTTCCGTGAAATCAATAAACTATTTGACAAAGCAACTGTTTTTCTAAGGGCATTCAGCTATACGATTCAAACAATTTATGAAAACATTTCCACCCTTTTTCTATGGATTAAATCATGACCCTGTTAGCAAATATATCCTTTCATTTTTTCGTATTTTGTCTGAGATACTATATACCAACCCGTTCAGCTTTTTACTTAATTTGACCACGGAATACCCCGATTACCTGATGGATACATAGGGTCACGGCGGTTGTGGCGGTTTACAGGGAATGCTTATTCCTCCATGGCACATAATTCCATCTCTGAAATTTTGGAGTTCCGTGTTCTAAGCCATTTTCTTAGATTTGTATTGCTCCTAGGTTTTTTAGCTTTAGGAGATAAATGTATTCATTCTCTTCATCTCCTTTAATCATTAGAAGAGTAACTATAAACTTAGGAGAACTCTACCCTTAGCTTAAAATATTTGCACTCCTCCATGTCACCTGACCCCTCCTCTGATGTTTTGGAGGTCCGTGTTTGCTCTGCTCCTATTTTGTATTGTTTTATGGACTTTCGATCTCGAATACTGTATGTTATCTCCATATGTTTCATTGCATATATACCCTTCTCTATTTGTTCGGCATGTTGTGTACAGATATCTATATGTATGTTCGTTGTTGCGAACATTTTTTTTTAAAACTTTTAATGAACTTTATTATCTCGAACGCCAGTATCATGATTTTGCCAGTTATTTAAAGTCCGAACCATTATCTTGTTTTTGCTCTATCCAAACCTTGGAGACGGGATAAAAAAAATACAAAGTGTCTGATAAAAGGCACTTCCAACCACAAATCACAGGTTTTTTTTTTATCACACCATATGTTTTATACATTAAATATCCGTGTTTTTACAGTGAAATTTAATCCATATTATTTTACTTTTCACTTTCATGCTACTGTGACGACGTGTTTGAAAAAATTACCCATTTAGTGACATCCACTGCATAAATAGTTAAAACATACGATAGACCCACACTCTACCATATACATCAAATGTTGGGACCCTTGAAACCCTAAAAATATCTTTGCACTCATGAAGTAATCTCAGTAGAACTACATGTATCGAGGATATTTTTTGTGAAATAAAAGGCAGAAATACTTTGATGATTAAAAAATTTTACATGTTTGAAAAGTTGAGTACATTTTCTACTTTGATTATGTTAACTGTATAATCATTTAATATGCATATATATAAAAGTGGGCTTTCTTTTGTGATTGTTTAATTAATTCTTTATTCTTTATTAATGGATTCTCATGATTCCAATAAACCACAAATATTTCTTGTGTATCAACGAACCAAAGACACACTCTTCTTCTCTCTATCTCTAATGTTTATAATTATATGGGAGGGATTGTTTTTATAAATGACGCAGGGAAATCGATCATATCGTCTTTTTGGTCAAAGATGACATTTCTCTACCTTAGTCCACACTGTCAATGGCGTTTATTTCATTAAAGATTGTAAAATTGTCATTAGTTTTTATTTTTTGAAGGTTGTATCATAAATTGGGCTGATTTAAAAAAGCGAAGATTATTTTGTTAGATTTAAAATGAAATTATAATCGATATTGAATAATGATCAATATTTTCATTCAATAATATATAGATTTTAATTACATGGGTTTTTTTTTGAAAATAGATTTTGAAATCTTGTTAAGGACAAAATCGTGATTGACAATTTATTTAGACATCAGTGAACTTGTACGTAAATAGTCTATATTTGGACAAAAACATACCAGTATAGGATCTCATCTGATAAGAAAGACGGTATAAGGTGATTTATGATTATTATTTTGACACACAGTAATTATTATTTCCTTTCGTCTATATATATCCTCTCTGATCTTGATTTTCTTTCACAGCCTCTGTTTTATTTGTTCACATTTAAATATGACAATTATGACTACATTTTATTAAATGTTCAAACAAACATTGTAAAGAGTATGTAAGAAAATCGACAAACGCACGGTAAGAGATAATATTACTTGTAAAACATAAAATCGCATTTATAATTGTTATGAAATCATTCAAGTCAATTATTTATATTATTTATATTATATTAAAGATTGTTAACATATATTTGCATGTTTTTTCAATACTAGGCAGTTTTTGATATGTAATTTTTTTTTTTAAATTTCTCTACATTACGTCGAAATTTTATATTTTAGGATCTTTGCGACAACTCTAAAATATATGTTTTTAATGTATCCTGGTATTATATAATTTTTTTTTTCAACCATTTGAGATTCTGACTTTAATTAAAAATACACATCAATATAGCTTTTGAAATAATTCTGATAATTTAACAAAATATTCGTCATGTGTTAGAATTTCAATGTTTTACAAAAAAAGCAAATTTTAAAGCAAATACATTAAACAAAACTAAAAATCTGTTTTCAGTTGATGGTCTTGGAGCCAGGAGTAAACTACTGTGTAAAATTTTTTTTTTTTATGTAAATATGTAGTGACGGTTATATTTGGTTGTGATTATTGCCTTGCTATTTGTATATATTTGATTGCCATGTAGTAATCTAGTCGAAAAAATTTCAAGCTGTGGCTACCTGTTCTCGGATGTTTTTTCTATTAAGAATTTGCAATGTATGGGTCAAAATGTAATGTTGTGACATCTTGTTACCAAATATATTTACATCTTGATTGTTATTCACTGATGTTTCACAAACATAAAGTATATGAATGTTTAACTGTTTAATTTTTGTTCAAAAACTGCAAGATTAACCGAAACTATGTGTCAAAATAGTAATGCTTTTTGTACAGTTCCTGACTGTTCTAAATTTTTATTTTATTAATAAAATGTTCAGTCATTTGTAGAAATGATATGCATATTTTTGTTTCAGCAATGTAACAGATCGGGACTGTTGGTCACTTTTCTTCTGAATTTAAATAAGATAATATTTTCTATCTAATAAAAATTAGTTCATGACAAACAAGTTGATGAAACAGAAATATCAACAGTCTCTTTTTAAGTCTTCATTTCGTGAGGATTATGGTCAATACAAGAAGGTAACATTTTATATCAAAGTTTATTGTAGATAAAAAATGTCAAAAATATTTAAACCTTATTTTTAACAACTTATCACATGTAAATTAAACGGAGGTTCCAATTTAATTAAAGTCACGTGCTCAGAGAATACCTCACAAAATAAGAGCGAGCAGTCATTGTTTTCACTTAGTTTTCTTCTGTAACAACGAATAAGTTCAATATAGAAACATTTTCTCAGTGAAATAATAATACTTGACAAGCGACGGAAATTAAAGGCAATGATGTACAGATTTAGATGTAATAATCAAGATTTATGCTTGACTGATTTCCAGCATGTTTTAACACATTAACATTTGATTCCATCTGTTTTTACCGTTAATTAAGAGCCGGGGCGGTTTGGTTGACGTGGAAGTTGCATACAATATTTGGAATCTGCTGAAGAATTGAAATCTAAGATCAGCAGGATGAAGAGATTCATGATATGGAGTTTATTTACACTGTTTAAACTGGTGAGAGGTAAGTAATACACTATTCTCGAACATTTGTTTTTTCTTGCTCACATTAATAAATATAAAATTTATTTTCAGATGAGAAAAATCAAACAAGATCTTCGCGGGATCAAATATATACTTTGAAAGTACATGATATATTTAAATCTTAATAATATTTGAATTATATATCGCATCTGTTATATGTTAAATTTTGTACAAACGATGTAAAATGTAAAAAAAAATGTTAGTTTTAAATGGACGCTAAATTGCCAATTTTCGAAATTTTGTTATTCTAAGTTTAAGCATTTGGATCATTTGATAATTGCACGTGTATTTCCTGTTGTTTTATATGAAGAACCTGCAAAACTGCACTACACAATGTTAACAAATTTGTGGTCCGTCTAACCATGAAATCATGAGTCAACCAGGTTGTGTTTTATATATTGTTTATTTTTACTTTAACTGCCATGTTATTTCCTTTTCCTTTTAAGAATACTGATTAAAAATCAGATTTGATAATTTTACGGTGTATGATTTTTGCTTGGAATTCAAATATTTCAAAGAATACGAATAAAATTTGAAAAGGTTACTAACTCCTTAATGTGCAGAATATTACAAATGAAATATATGGAGATTACGAATAGTGTTCAAGCTCAAAAGTAACAATACAATGTTGGCACAGAGCAAACACGGACCTGCAAAACATGAGAGGTGGGATCAGGTGCCATGTAATTTGGAGTGTTTTTAGAACAAGCCATGATTCGTTAAACGTGATAGGAATACAAATGTCGTTATCTGTCAATGACATTTAATGATTACTAAAGGAAAATTATTTTTTGTGATATACTCATCATCATGTGACAAACAAGTTTAAAATAAATACACATTTAAAATTCTACGTAAATTTACTAACAAGGGCCATTTACCTACTTTAAAAAAAAAACACATTTCAGAAAATGATTTACATAGTGTAGTTACAGAGAAGTTTCTAATTGCCGTGTTTATAGTTTATCTTGAAACGCAAAATAAATAGATATATGAATTAATTAATCAGCAATGAATAAATAATATGAAAATAACAAAATGTTACCTTTTCCTTTGCCAGGTCAAATGCTTCCTCCATTCTTCTTTCCACCAAGTTTTGTTCGCCATGAATTTCCGGAAGGAATTAATATACCTGGTGTTGATCCATCCTGCCCTCCGCCTATACACTGTCGTCTTATTCGAGACCCAAATTGTATACAACCTCAGTTTTCCATGATTAATGGACGACGATGTCCAGTTTGTCCGAGGAACAGATGTACCGATCCATCTTCTCCTACAAGACAGAGAGAGGAAAATACAGCTTCTTCAAACGCTGCACGTGATGGTAGAGTGCAAGAAAATAATGATCAAAGGACACCAGAGCAAAATAGAAGATCATCAAGTTCGACATCAACCTCGTCATCAACACGTGTTGTAATCGGAAATGAGCGAGGGGTACTTATACAAGTTGACCCTCCGCGACCCGGCCGACGTCCTTCACCTGGTTCTCGAGGGAATCCGGAAAACCTTACTTCTCGAAGGCCTTCAGGACCGTCTTCTTCTCGGAGCCCTGGACGTCCTCGCGGTAGGCCTTCCAGAGGTCCTCGTCGTCGTAGGCCCTCTAAAAGACCACAGAAGCCAACGAAATCACCACCAAAGTCTCAAAAGAAGCTTCCTCAGGTTGACAACCAGAAGGATGCTCATATTCTTTTTCCATTTGATATTCTTAATGACAACAAAGTAAGCAAAAAGAAACAAGAAAATGAACAAAAGAGTTCAAATCCTCTCCCAAAAAGCAACGTTCTTGAAAAGTCGGATGCAGTAAAACCTGAAAGTCCATCCGTTCCTTCACATGGAAGGCGAACTGAGAGGCAAACAAGACCTTCTATCCGTCTGATTTTTCAAGGTTCCCAATCAGAAGGAAATGAACAATCTAACCAAAACCAACGAAACACACAGATACCAAATCGTGTGTTACCTTCTGGAAACAATGCTTTAACAAATAGAATGCCATTTATAAGGTTCCCTTTCCCTTTTCCAGGTATGCAAGGATCTCCCTTTACAAGAGTAGTGCAGCGAGCATCTCAAGGTAGTGCAAATAACAACATGGAAACTGGTAGTGCAAATAACAACAGACAACCATTGAATCAACAGATACCTTTTATCCATAATATGCACCCTTTCATGCAAATGGCTCTGTTAAATAGAGCTAGATTCCTCAACCAAAATGCTGCTAATCGCCCCTCTAGCACCGTTACGCCAGATGCAGCTTCAAACAATGCTGCACAACCAACTCCTTTGAGAAATAATAACATCCCTAATCTTTTACCGCCATTCCATTTATTGAATCCTGCACAAAATCAGAATGCTGCCACTAGATTTGCAAACAATGTTCCTGCTGACCAAGTCTCTAGTTCCAATTCCGAACCCACTGTCCAAACAGTTAATCCTGATCAACAAGCTGGGATAAACAGGTGGTTAGAGCAAATGACAATGCCTATTCAGCAGTCCCTAGGCGAACCAAATTCACCGCCAAGCAGTCAAGTGCAACCACAAGAAAACCAAAACCAATGGTTAAACCAAATGGCACAACAAGTTCAGCAGATGCTAGGTGGAAACGGTCAGCCACCAAACCAACAAACACCACAAGTTCCAGCTGAAGTCCAAGCTCAGTTTCAACAACGATTGCAACAGATGGCACTTCAACAACAACAACTTCTAGCTGGTAGGCAGTCAGCAAATCAGGTGATGCCACCAGGCATGACATCAAATCGGATACATCCTCAGATTCCGAACTTAAATCCTTTTCAAAACTCAGCTTTAGGAGGTACATCCCCAACTGCACCAAATGTCGCTAACCAAAATAATGTCGGTGGGGCCGATACACAATTAACTCAGTGGCTAGAGAATGCTTCTCAGCAAATCTGGCAGCAGCTAAGTGGTGGTACAAATTTCAGGACACAACCAAACCCTAGTCCCCAGTTAGTGGCAAACAATCCACAACAAACTGTGAGCAATTCTCCTCCAGCAAATGGAGGAGCTAATCAATTAACTGTGGACAACTGGTTAAATAGCATGGTGCAGCCAATCCAACAAGAACTCAGTGGGTCTCCTGGTAACATCCAGGCGCCCCCTAGTGGAAGTGACTTAGCTGGAAGTAACTGGTTCAATAATATGTTAAATCCCATACAACAGGGTTTGGGAGGAGTTTAGTTCCAAAACATTAATTAAAGCGTTCGCCAATAACCGAAACAGTTAATTAAACTAATTCATCATCTAACTATGTATATTGTAAAAATATAAAATTGTATCTCATATTGCGATATTTCGATATGTCTCATGATTTTTTTTTCTCGAAAAGTAAGTTTGTTTAATTTCACAGAAGCGTGTAATATTTTACAATGATACGAAAATTTTCACAGTATTTTACCGTCCAAGTTATATATTGTTTTAGTTCACTGTTTATCACGATGAACAGCGTGTATCCAAGTTTTATATATGCTGTTACAATTATTGTTTGTCTACCAATGTCTGTACATAGTTGTTTTGAAATAATTTATGGGGTTGTTAAAAATAAATGATTTTAAAAATAATGTATTTGTGGAGGTCTTAGTGTTGATAATGTACACGATTATAGTGTAAACGTGTTTCTATGATTTTCTGCCAAAAATCCTATCTTTTAAATCCTAGTTATATATAGACCGATGTATTGATTTTGAACCATATTATAGTAATGAAATATGTTAAGATATTGAACATTATTCGAGCTCAAAAGTCATTAAACATTACAAAATAGGAGCGGAGAAAACATGGACCTCCAAAACATTAGAGATGGGATCAGGTGCCATGGGGGTGTGAGTATCCTCTGCCGACCATGTGTTCCTTGATTGGAAAATACATGTAACGAAAATAATCCGTAAACAATTCAGTGTGTAAGTAATGGTCGAACAATCAGTATGAAAAAAGACAGTCAGTATTTAGTTTTATGATTAATTGTATCTGCTGAGAAGGTAATTTTATCGACCATTGAACTTACAAAATGATGACTTTGAACACATTAAAGGACACTGCTGCTAGTATTGCTTCATCAACTTGATTGTCAATGACTTACCTCGTGTTAGAAATTGTTCATACATAGAACATGCTCTTCCGTATCGAATCAACTAAATATACGAGATAAAGAAAATAAAACGACTTGACAATTTTTCCTTGATTACAATGATTTTTAAAACATGGAATAAACTCATTCCATTTAAATGACGTTCATATTTTTCCCATTGTTAGCTGATTATATTTTTATATTGTTTTTATTCTTTCATAAAACAAAGCATAATAAAGCAAGAAAAATTCTTAACGCAGTATATCCAAAAAGTAACAAAAACAAGGAAATTGATGGGTATATAATTGTATATATACCAATAATTCGACCAACTTTGAGGTGCGCAAAAATCAAAAATAGACAGGGATCGTTTGTTTCTAATTCAATTGAAATATTAAAAGAAACGGTGGCTTCTTTTATGAAATCATATAAGAAAAGGGAAATATGAAAACAGAAAATGTTTATGAGAAATACAAACTGATTTTTTTATTTCTTAAAGTCTAGACATTGAAGGGTACTAGCTCCTTTATTTCACGATCAATAAATAATTCAAATAATTTATTTCAATTTTCATATTCAGATTATTTGGGAATCAGAACTTGTGTTTAAATTTAGTATTCCAAAAGCAATATAACCAAAACGATTTATGGACAATTGGCGACCTTTTAGTCTTTAAGGTCAGACGAGACGTTCCTCAAATTTGCTTTGTATATCTTCGTAATGTATGAAAAATATTCAAAATTTTTATGAAATTCTGATTTCTAAACCAGTTTCTAGACGTTTTTAAAAAATCCAAACACTTAAACATTTGAAATTGGAAAATTATTTTTCTTCCCCAAAGGATTATACAGCTCAACAAACTTTTTAAACTCACATGGTTTTTCGCACAAATTAAAGTCACATTTTTCTTGCAATAAAACTTAAAATTATCGAGTTTCAGTACGAGGTATAGGCCTTATATTATGAAATATTTCATGTTAAATGTGCATATTCTCTAAAATCATTATCTAAAGTTTTAAGAGTCAATGTTCTAATAGGGAATTTGTTTATAAATCATATGATGTTAAATGTGTATGATTCTATCATAGGTATTTACAAATTTCATTAATCGAACTTTCTTGAATACTGTTCTGTTGAAATGTTCAAATTGACTTCTTACAGATGAGTATTTTTCTATGTAATTCGCACATTTTCAATACTTGTCATGGTTTTGTCGAAATGCAGCGCCGAAAAATGAGAAAACTGCATAAAGAAATCATGTGAAAAGATAGGATAATAAAGTATTGTTTATCTTTCAACATAGTAAATTGTAAATATTGAAAAGACTTTCTTTTTACATTTATGGTCTGAAACTTTGGAATTATGCGTTGGTAGGTAACTTTCATGATGCTAGATTTCAGGAAGTTGACCTGAAAAATGTTATCTTTTTAACATGGAAAGCAGTCGAACACATGAGAAATACTTATATCATCTTGCGCCTTAGTGTCATATTAATGTACAGAAAATACAGAAATAACATGAACTGCACTGTTTCTGTATGAAGGCAAGGCAAAAGTATGTTTTAAAATGAATGCATACAAAGACGGTTGCATTTGAAGAGAAACCATGAAAAAACCAATTGGAAACTCCCATAATATATCATCCAAGAGCATATAGAAATCCTACCAATTATTATGTGTAAATTATGTTTAAAGTAATGGAATATGATCAAAATTAAGCTATAAATCATTTTTAAAATATATTTTGTTGTCACGTTACACAATTTTGCATTATGACAATGTGACCTTAATTTGTGCGAAAAACCATGTGAGTTTAAAAAGTTTGTTGAGCTGTATAAGAAAAACTACCCCTGGTATCTTGCAGAAATGCCTGGTAAGGTACCTCAATTTTTTGTGAGTAAACATGTTTCAGTAGCAACTCTTCAATGACACACTCTTAGAAAAATTTATCTATTATTAAGGAACGTCTCGTCCGTCCTTAAGTGTTGTTTATTTTTAGCATCAGGATACATTGCAAATGAATGAAAACTAAATTGGACAACTAATTCAATAGAGAAGAAATCAGATTAATAAAAAGTAGGGAAAATGGGAGAATATTTGCATTACACAGAATATATAATTAAATATAGGGTCCGTTGATCATGATAGACCTTTAAAATGTGTTTCATACGATTTCTTGAAAGTAAATGAATTAATCCATGCAAACTCTCAGCCGTTTTTTTCTTAATTTTTGATCCGTGTTTAAACTCTGCTGCTCCAAATTAAATGTTGATCCTGTAATAAAAGGGATCTGACATAGAATTTTTAACGAAAATATCGTATTAAAAGTTGCAGATATTGTAGATAAGGGAAAGATTTCCCATTCGGTCAAAATGCATTGGTTCCCAAGAAATTCGCAGGATAAGACAATGTTCTGGAAAGGACATCATTAATAATTTTAAATTTCAAATTTACATTGAAAATTGAATTTACTACAAGGGACTTAAACTTAAACTCTACACCACGTTATACACGATTTCGGAATACACGGGATCAGCAAAGTTTCACTTTACTTCTTGTTCTCTCTTTTGTTTTTCAATTCAGAGGAAATAATAAAAATTCAGATTAATCACCTGTTTTAACTTGTATTTTCTGTACTAAAGCAATTGCTTAGAACTGATATTATAAAAAAGCCCACCGAGGATTAACTGGTACCTAGATTTTGATGCAAGAAATGTGACGAGAAAAAAAATCCGAGAAAAAGAAAATATATCTTTCGAATCTTTCCTTGTTTATTATATTAGTATATAGTGTTGTTACTTTCATCAACGTTACATTGCATAAACATTGATACCACTAATTAACCATTGAGGGTTTCACATGTTGGTATTTTCATGCCTTTGATATACTTTTTTTGAGAAATGGAGATGACGAACGGTTATCAAGTACAAAACTCCACTGAGATAGAGCCTCCATCGGGAGCAGGGTAAACAGGGACCTCTGAAAGTTTCAGAGATTGGATCAGGTACCATGGAGAAGTAATCAATACCTGTTGACCTGTCACATCCGTCATGATCGGATTAACCCAAAAAATGTAGAAAATTCTGTGTGCATATAAAAGGCCTAAAAATTGGTATGACAAAGTCAGTCAGCAATTGATGTAATGATAGATGGTTAAAATTTGCTGACAAAATTCATAGTATCGACCACAGAGCTTGTGAAAAAGTCACTTTAGACTGTTGATATTTTTGTTTCCTAAACTTGTTTATATTTTATTTGTGATTTTTGATTTTAAGACCTTTTTAAAAAATGTCATTTCCGCCATGAAAACAACCTTGTTCATGAATATTAATACTTTATAATATTAAATGTCAAACACCATTTCAAAAAACATTTTCATCTATGACAAACTACCTTTTTTATTAGATTTTTACATTGCAGGTGAAAATTTGTGAGTTAATTGGTTTTAAAAATATCATATCTATTGAACATTCTATGATTATTTTTTATTTGAAGTACATGTGTTTCCTCGTTTGCATATTGTGAAACAAGATCTATGATTACTTAACAATTTTTCTGGTGTAGCTCTTATGCTCATTTATTCGCATGATCAACCCGGCATGTATTTTCACTTTTTGACTGTAGTTTTTAAATATACATTGTTATTTGTATGATTTTGATTGTAGTAAATTGATAATCAGCATTCAAAAAACATAAGATTTTATACATTGTTTCAGTAATATTGCAATTTATTTTTGAATTCATAAATGAGAACATTTGGAGAGAAATGAAACGTTAAAAGATATCATGATTTCTAACTCATGTTTTTTCTTTAAAAAATATGAAAATTTACGATAAATATATTATAACTATTTCCCAACAATACTGACTGATACACCATTTACATGAATAACCACAGCTTCGCTTTCTTTTCCCAGACGATTTACACTCCTAATGGCGTAGTACCCAGCAGGAACGCTGAACTGTAATGTGTCTCTGTCCAGCACTTTCAATAGTTCCCATACATCAGCTTTAAAGGTGTAAACTGCCCAGGATCTGACTGTCCTTGATGAATCTGAGGACCAATGCAATTTAGAGTCTACACTCGCGTGGACATTTTGTGGAGTTGGTGGTGCTGGCGCTGTTAGCCACGCCATTTCAGGTTGTAGAGCAGGCGTTGAATACTCCCCCGAAGTGAACGTATTAGCAATATTATGAGTATTATGCGAAAATATTTTTGCACTGAAGAAAACATTTCCTAGACTAAGATGGTCACGTCTATCACGTGACAGTCTTACTTGTCGTTCTAACTCGCTAACTGACCACGATTTGGCCACAACTCCACTTGCGTAGTTTCCGGTATACACATGGCGATTCATCTTGTTCTGTTGAAGCCACCAGTCCAGCAGCACAGGATAACTTTGCTGTGGTGGATCTACTTGCCAGTAGAGCTGCGGAGTCATGTAGTCTACCCACCCTAGCTCCAACCACTTTTTAGAATCTGCATAAAGTGAGTCATAACTCGACAGACCGCGAATCGTTGAAGGATGACCAGATTTCCAGATGCCAAATGGACTTATTCCAATCTTAACATGGGATTTGATGGATCTTACAGAATTATATATTCCTTGAACAAGAGTATTTACACTATCGCGCCTCCAATCCGCCAATGATAGCTGACCACCTCCTGAAATGTAATCTCTATAAGTGTGAGAATCTGGAAACGGTACACCGGATACCGGGTAAGGGTAAAAATAGTCATCCATATGAACACCATCAATGTCATACCGAGATACTACATCCCTAAATACAGAGAGAATAAAATCTTGAACAACTTTAGCCCCCGGGTCCATCCATAGATTGTGTCCATACGGGTAAGTATATTGTGGAAATCTGTGTGCCATATGATTATGTGCTAGTCCAGATGTCGAAGAACTCCCACTTCTAGCTCTGTAAGGGTTGAACCAAGCGTGGATTTCCATGTTTCTTCTATGAGCTTCCTGCACAGCGAATTCAAGGGGATCGTAATAGGGACTGGGTGCTCTCCCCTGTTTTCCCGTCAGATAGTAGCTCCAAGGTTCTAAAGAAGAGTTGTACAAAGTATCACCGGAAGTTCTAACCTGTAAAACAATGGCGTTAAAGTTGTCTGCCTGGAGTTTATCCAACATGGTTACTAATTCGTTTTTCTGTTGGGCAGTGGTCAGGGAGTGAGATGAAGGCCAGTCTATGTTGGCGACTGTTGCTATCCAGGCTCCACGGAATTCTCGTACTGGCCACAGGGAACCATCTGTAAACAAAGTCGGGCTCGGCATTACTTTGTTAAAAATATGTAAACCAGCTATTTTCTTGAAAAGTGGACTTTTTTGTTTGTATCGTATTAAGTAACAAACCTTGAACTGCCTGGCCCAAGTGAAAGCCGAGGACAAGGATAATTAGAGTGGTCATCATTCTGAAAAGGAATGTGATAATGTCTAAATTTATTAAAACGGTTTTACTTCCTTAAATGTGATAAATATTAGCAATGCCAACTCATAAGGGACCTTATTTACTTCCTGTTCTTAGTTTATGTTGATAAGAGGCAATTTCATAGAGAATTTTGAGTGTTAATCTTGAATTCAACAACATGCACGCATTTCCGTCGATTAGTTGATGAATGTACACAATTAATTTTGAGTAAGTTTAATAATTAATCATTCTTAGTGCTGTCCTAACATGTATTAATATATGTTTGTACATTAATGAAATTGTAATTTTCTTTTAATAAACCAAATGAAGTATGTGGGGTTGTTTTTTGTCCATAAATAAATGCGTATTCGAATTTACTGTTTTTCATTGTTATATAATATGGGATATCTTTGGATATATTCTCTAGTTAAGAAAGAAAATATTTAGTGAATATACTTGTACAAGGAATATCGGCGACAAAAGATTAGACTTACATTCTATAGGGTATTCCAACTGCCAGGTAAACCGTTGAAGACCGCGTACAATATTCCATGGTATGATATCATCAGATAAGGCTCTTAGACTAGATAGTGCATTGTAGAAATGGCCTTGTATTAAAACCAGGTAATCAAAACAAACATAGAATGTTTAAGTTAACGCATAATGCGCGTGAACAGGATTATATATTTTATTTTATTCTGTCATAGCTGAAAGCTTCATTTTCATATTAACAAAATAATAATAAAAAAAAATTGAATTGTTTTATATATATCCATACTCATAATTATATAGAATAGGACAAAGTACATTTACTTTTGTATATTTAATTATTGATAGGAACGTCACTGTAATTTTCTTTGACGAGCCTCTGATCAACAACTCTATACAGGTGAAATGCTTCTTGGTGTTTACCGACAGATTAAAGTGAAACATATGAAGAAAACGAACAGTGTTCCAGATCAAAAGTCCATAAAACAATACAAAATAAGAGCAGAGCAAACACGGACCTCCCAAACATCAGAGATGGGATCAGGTGCCATGGAGGAGTGAGCATCCTCTGCCGACCGTTCACTCCCACCGTGTGCTCCTTGTCATGAACGGGAAATAACGAAAAAATCCGTCATCAATTCAGTGTATAAATAATGGACTGACAATTAGTATGAAAAACGTCAGTCAGCATTTCACTCAATGATAAATTGTATTTGCTGATAAGGTCATTGTATCGACCATAAAACTTACGAAATGATGACTTTTAAACGAGCCTGCTTTGTTTGTCAATAATTAACCTCGTTGTAGAAATTATTCATACGTAGAGCATGCTCTTGCGAATCAAATCAACTGAGAATAAGATATGTAAACTTCGTATGCAGGGGATGAAGGTATATTGCTGCATAAGTAAGAGAAGTTGACGATAGAAAAGTTAGTCATCACGTTTATTATAGAGCTTGGTTGTTAGATTACCATTAACGTCTTTTTCAAGTAAAATATGCAAGTATGAAGCAAATCCTGGTGAGACTGAGATAAAAGATACCACAGAATCTGACACATCTATCGGATCGACGTAAGAATGGAAATGGTTTTCCTAAGAAATATTGGTAAAAATATTAATTGGATACATAATACAAGTGTTTGAAACTTCAATTTTTGCATAAAAGTGTAGTAAGTATGCAGTATTTCATATTTATTTTCTCCCTGAATGATATACGAAAGAAAGGTCTATAAATATAGCAGATTTCTCCAAGTTTATACACACGCAAACATACTACTTCATTTCATTGACACGTTAAAGGAACGGTAACTCTGATGGAGAGTCAAATTATGCTTTCGGGCAAATAATGTCGTTACTATTTTGTGTAACGACTTCGTTTTGGGATTTTTTTCATTCCCATTAGTAAATTGAATATATAAAAAGTAAAGAAAACGAACAGTGATCGATATTAAAAAAAATCTAAAACCGCAACAAATATGCGAAGAGGGTATAAAACACGAATCCTTGGTAATTCCGGAGGTTGTATTGGATACAGTATCACCCGTTTATAAAGAAGTGCCAATCAATGAATGAAAATCACTTCGCTGTAAGCTTTTATTTATTATAAGCGTGCTCGCTGTACATAAGTTTTACATTAGGATCCAACGATACATGTAGGTTCAAGCTGCTAAAAAAGCCATTATAACGACCATAGAATTCACCAAATGCTGACTTTTAATGAGTTTTGTTGAAATCCTTGTCAACGTATCCGGTAGTAGCAAGCCTCGGTTTAAAAATTGACCGTACTCATAGCAAGCTCTTGAGTAGCATATAAGTTTGGAAACATAGTTACAAATCTTAAGCAGGCTATCGTGGAATATTACTACAAAGACAAGAAAAAATAACGATAATTGAAAAACTTGAATCATCTCGTTTTGTCATAAAATTTATCTGTTAATTGGCCCTTGCCATCTAAATTCAAATCCGTAAATCATCTTAATATGAAGGCAGGTGTGACTGGCCGACAGGGAATGAATAATCCCCCTAGGCACCTGATTCAACTCTCTGTGTTTATAGATATTCCAGGACGTACTTAAAAAAGATATAAAAAGAAATCAGAAAGTACCACAAATTATATCTTTTTTTTTATCTAAAGCTATCCCTTATGTAAATAAGCGAGTTTGTTTTTGCAAATTTGAAAAGAGAAAGGAACGAATTCGTCCTTTCTCTTTTCACATTTGCAAAAACAATCTTGATATACGAGTAGTAGTAATCTGTATTAGAATATGCAGAAATAAAATTTGAGGCGACACATTTACAGGTGTAGGGCATTATCTGTTAGATAACACATACATACTTTATATACAAACAATTTAACACATTAAGGTCAATATTGTTTATCGTCTGGAACCACTGTGATCTTTTAATCAATAACTATTTACTTCCGGATTGTTAACTGAATGACGAATATGAATGGACCAGAGTTGAGACCGCCGCGGCGCCCGTCACTGCCGTCCAGAGACAAGTGGCGGTTTGTGGCGTCCGACAAGGAGTACACTGTAGAGGACTTCTATTCCGAGTTTCACGCCACTTTTCCTTGTGTTTGCATTGTTACCCAGGGGTACTTTGGTGACATTGGGATTGAGGTGATCGGCAAAGAACAGGTATGTCATTTGCATAAATTAAATTGTAATGATAAATAAAAATCCTTAATTTGTTACATCAATAATTACATGTTGTTCAGAAAATGACTAGATGAAATAATGAAACAATTAAACAAAAGAAAAAAAAACATGCAAAGAAAAGTCGTAAAAATGAGATAAAGCAAATGTAAAGAAGTATTTTAAAATTCAAGGAATGCCGTTATGCAACAAATGTGTCAAAACATTTCTTTAAATATTATGGAAACCCGTAGCATACATGCAATAAGGACGAAATTATTACTGATTATAACTGACACTTTCATTTTTTTCGCTAAGTATCTCATACATTTAAAAAACGATTTTTGTACATGGATTTTTTAAAATAGTACTTTCTTCATTACAGTGTCAATATTAATTACTGTTAAATCACATATTTTGGTGGGGGTCAAATTTTAATGGTTTGGGGGAAAATATGGGTTCATGGGCATTTCGAGGACTGAGGATTGTTGAGTAGTAACATCTGTAAAAGAAATATATATATATATATATTTCATGGTGGACATAAATTCGTGGGTCTATTCATACCTCGAAAACCAGCCCCCCCCCCCCCGAAAAATATATCAGTGATTACCCAGTTCCAAAAAAACAAATATGTTGATTATTTCTAAATGTTTCCCATTTATTGACAATTCCTTTTTTCCCTTTCTTATCTGAATCAATTTAAAAGGCATTTTCTTCACGTTTAATACATTTTCATAATTTAAAATATACACACGAGTCTCACACATTTAACTAGCTATATGAAAATTTAATATTAGTGATCATTATCTAATAAAAACTTTGAAAATGCTGTAAGTTATTATGTTCAATAATAAACGAGAGAATGGATATGTCATTTTAAAATTTCATTTAAATGCTTCAACAGATCTAGAGCAAAATTACAACAATGAAATATATGGAAATAACGAACAGCATTTAAGCTCAAACGTCCATCAAACAATACAAAATTGGAGCAGAGCAAACACGGACCTCTTAAATATGAGAGTTGGGATCAGATGCCAAGGAGAAGTGAGCATCCCCTGCCGACCGGTCACACCCGCCACGTGCTCCTTGTCATGATCGGGAAATCCATCGACAATTCAGTGTGTATATAATGGTCTAACAATTAATCAGTATGGAAAAATCAGTCAGCATTTGACTCAATGACAAATTGTATTTGCTGACAAGGTCATTGTATCGACCATAGAATTTACGGAATGGTAACTAAACGAGACTGCTGATATCATTGTTTCAACAATATGACTGTCAATAATTTACCTCGTTTAAGAAATTGTTCCTCCTAGAACGCTTTTGGGTCTCGAATCAACTGAGAGATTAAACTGCGTATGCAGGCTATGAAGGTATATTGTCGCATAAGGTTAGGGAAGTTGACGATTGAAAAGTTTAAGCCATTACGTTTATCATAATGCTTGGTAGTTAAATAACCATTAATAACAAATGATTTTTTTTTTTTTATAAATTGTTCTCTCTTCAAATGATTTATTGGACACGAAAGTTTTTCACCTACAAAAAAGAAACTCTTGGTATTTTCAGGCAATATACATTCAGAAGTTAAGCAGACAACAGCGAGTTGTTGCTGACATTATATCCGGGGAGGAGAAATGTCAGATTTCTATACCCACGGCTTACAGGGCCAGGTTCTGTGTTGTGGAAAAGCATGGAAAATGTAAGTTTTTTGGTGCAGAAAAACTTTTTGAGCTTCATGAGTTTGTAGAGCAAAGATTTCCGTAGAAATTAATAAAATTCCAACGATGAATACCCCGGTAGTTAGTAGGACCCCAACGTCTATAATTATTATATTAAGGTTGAAACAGATATTGCAGACCCTGGGTGACTATTGTTTCGAGTTCATTGAAATGTTATTAATTTTCAGAGTACTTCCACGTATTACTGTTCCTTGCCTCATATCTATGTAGTCCTACCTGACACATTATTGCTGGTGACGTTAAAGTCCATAATGATTGCTTTAATAAAACTATTATATTACGGCAAAGGACCAAATATGAAAATGAATATCTTGACATTTTTAAGAATGGATAAAAAGTATCATATGGATATTTGGCTCTATTTGTATCAAGTAGTTGTTCTGATTAATTTTCATTTCATTTCAAATGTTCAACTGGTGTAGAGAGTTCATTGAATTTTTAAAATTCTAAATGAAGGGTACTATTGATTTAAGCAATTTAAGACTTTAGTTACCACAGTGGCCATAAGAAGTAGTTTCTAGTTTCAAAACAAAGTTGTAAGAGGACTGGGGGAAGGGAGGCGCATCAAGAAACCGAACAGAAATTCCTTAATTGGCAGGTTTGGCTATCAGACAATATTGTTACATAGTGTATATAGGCAAAAAAGGAGGCATGTCCAGTAACAAAAGAACGTGGTAATCATTCAAATGCTTCAGCAGATCTAGATCCCAAGACCACTATGTTACATACTGTACATTGTAACTCTGACATAATTAAATATGCAATATTTCTTGAATTTATCTGAAAAATATCTCTTTTTATAGGTACTAAGGAATATCCTTTGGCTGAGATTCTGCGCTTGTACAGCCTACCATGTGTTGTCCGGTTTTCACCGAACAACCAATTCCATCTTGTATCAGTAGAGGGAACAAGAATGGAAACGGACAAACTCCGTCTAAGTCTACAAAAGACGTATGAGGAATTGTATTTGGTTGGAAATCCCCTTACTGAAAGTAAATAGCTGTACAAAATGATCCGGAAATATAGGGCAGAGACTTAAAAATATTTTGTTTAAAAAAAAAATCTTTGTAAAAGTAATGATAATGAAAATGTTTGCAGATGCGATATTTTACATGTATGATAAGGAAAAATATTAGCTCTTAAAGTCAATATGATATCAACATGTGGTATCAAAACTATCATTTATATTCCAAAAAAAACAGGAAAAAATTAGGTTTCCTACGCACAATAGCATTTTATAATTTTCTTTTTATAGCCACTATTTACGAAGAAATAATGCTGCTGCCTTTTTACCTGAACGAAATAAGACTGTCACTGGTCACGGATATTCTAGGTTATCCCTCAAATTGGTCATCATATCTACAGAATCTGTCTGTGGCAAAACTTCCCGAATCCGGAAAATTTGGAAACTCAGGTAAGACTTTCAGCAAGCGAGATTATAAATGTAGAGAAATGGCTTCGATGCTTTCTTCATCATTTTTTAAAACTAAAAGCTTGGTTATTGTTGTTGATATTGCTTTATGTCAAATATTAATAGATCTATGGCAACGATGATTATTTCAGATATTGCCATCTACAGAAAAACAGGATTACATTCCTTTGAGAGTTCGGGAGCTGTCCCAGAGACCTATTTAAGTTTATCAGCTGTCAGTGTACAGACGGGGCATCATTATGAAGATTTACAACAGAAGGAACAGACCGACAGAATATATGACATTATTTGGGATTCGAATATTGGCCGTTCTGTTGTGAAGGAGAGACAGAGCGGCGTTTTTGTACCAGAAGAGGAGACAAAACAGGCTCGATACATCAAGTGGGAGGAAGCTCAACTGTCGAAGTCTCTTCCTGTTAATACCAGTACGGAGAAACGTTATGCTGAAAGACCGCTACCAACTCCTCCCAAAATTATTCAGACAGAGATAGAAAGTTCTACGGAAAACCAGTTAACATATCCTAGAAATGAAGATGAGATATCTAATCAACAAACACAAAAAGCAGAGGTTCAAAGAAACGAAAATGAAATTTCAGCAAAGGGAATTCAGAAATTTAAAGATAGAGAAAAAGAACCACAAATGTCGAGGAGTCAGATTCAAATGAAAAATGAATTGGAAAGGGTACTAAGTACAAGCGCAAATTTTGTGAGCAATCAAACCTTAACAACCTGTTCGAAAGATTCCAGCAATCTACCACCGATTCCGAAGAAACCTTCCAGGAACAAAGAGATCAACGAGCTTTTGATGCCTGATATGGCTGCTGAACGTAAGATGCGGATCCCAACTATGTCCGTGTCGGAAGTGACGTATTGGTTAGGCGTGCTGAAGCTGGACCAGTACACAGACACTTTCAAGGAAAACGATGTGGATGGTGTCCTCCTCTCTGAACTTGATGATAGCATTTTGCAAAAGGAGTTTGGAATGTCTCGCTTTCATGCCATCAAACTCCGAAAATTTATATCGGAAGGATACATTCCTCGCCAGTAAACATTCAAAGTGTGCTTGGCAAAATAATTTCTTTCACTCATAATAAATCTACAAAAACGTCTTCAAAACTCTTTCGTCTCATAACCATCATGACAAATTGAATGATTCAATTGAATACACAAGTTTTTATCTTCTCTAACAATGTTTGTCTCTCCTTACAGCTGCAAATTCCAAATTTTGTTTTACCTCTAGATTTCAATTGAGTTGTTTTAGTCTCACACATGACACGGAACCTGCTTTTGACTAAGGACTGTTTCATAACTCCGGAGATATTTCATTTGTATAAATTCAAAGTAGGATCAGTTTAATTTAATATTTTAGTTAGAGTCACCGATTAATACTTCAGGAGTACAAATACAATTGTTGCATATCCGCTATAGAATGTCATGGCTCTGAGCCTGTGCCAATGTTGACAGGAATCAAAAGACCTACAGACTTAAACCAAACTACTTACCAGTAACTGACTACTCCATAGACAACCTTTACTGAATGCTCTCAATACACACTTCTGACTACTCCCAAACTACCTTACTGACTACTAGTATTTTTCCTAGATTAACCATTAGATACTCCTGAGACTAACTGTTGACAACGATTTGAACCTAATACCCGATAGATTAAGTGATGGTCATTGCTCTGATTTACTCCTGATTTTCTAGAGGCGATTACTCAATTCAGTAGACCTTCAGCAATTCACTTTTTATTGCACTTTTATCTTTTCCATTGGACCTTCAATTCTAAACCAAACTTTAACTACTACCTTGCCCTTTTTGATCTTTACTTCATAATTTTCTGTTTACCAATTTCTTACGTTAAGGGAAAACGTTACATTCACCATTGACAGATGTTCTGTGCGTGGATCTAGCGCTAACCTTTATTTCTTATTATTTGATTCACCATTGTATGTTCTCTTTATTCACTGTCTGCATACACGTACTTGACTAAAACAGTACCTCCTCTGTGAAATCTCACTAGACTCAACACCATCTACTTCTTCCACCTTTCCTAGCTACTTCCTTTATCCACTTCTAACTGATCGATACGTTAATGCTGAGCACTTATCTTACTCCACGGTTTCTAATTTCATTTCACATCGTAATCACTCAAAGATAACCACTTCCTCAAGGAAAAAATGGTTGCTTTTTACTCTCAAGACAAAAACGTCATAAATTTATGTCTAGTGCCTATTTGAGAAATAATAACAACATTTCTTCGTGTTTAGTGTAAATTATGTGTATGAAAGATTATATAAACATCCACTGAATATTTCTTACCTCTTTTCCTATATGTAAACGAGCCGCCTGTTTTGATTTCTTGGGCACTGGGTCTCCCATCAATGAAATAGATTATGATGACACTTTATCACAGTATTTTTGTTTTTTAGTTCCATTTTGTAAAGTAATTTATATATAGAAATAAATCTAAAGAATAAAATGTCTTTTTGGTCGAAGACATGGTATGGGATGGTATTTTGCTGCAACACCTGAAATAAAATTCTACACTAAAAGCATGTGTTTTTGCAATTCTGCACAAAGAAACTAATAAATATACAAATCTGTTCTATGGGAAAATATATTGCCTCAACATTATTTAAAAAATGACTAAATTTCTTCCTGTTTGCTAATGTTATATAACTAACTAAAATAAAACTGTCAACAAAAAGGAATTTACGATTTTCTTCAAACACCCTAAGGCTTCATGGTACGTTTCAGCTATATAAATTAAAAGTACATGAATTTTCATGTTTGTACAAGTCATCGCCTTTTCAAGTAGTCAGGAAGATCAGTTTATTAAAAACCAATACGAAAGCGCGTTATGAAACTTTAAAGCATTCAATGTAAAGATTTCACTGCAAACTTCCTTATCAGTAAGGAGAAAGGAGAAAAAGCATGGATCTATCGACTGCAAAAAGTCGACAAAAATGTCAAAGTTTTGTCATTTCGGATATTGAAATATCAGTGGAGGACTTCAGTCGGATCTACAAGAAAAACATTCCCCAAATTATAAGGATTAAGGAGGGCGAAGAAAAGGGAGGAAACGCAAAAGTCACACCTGTGAAAAGTCAGGTAATTATATCATACTACATATAATTTGATATTTTCTAAAGAGATATAATTATTCTATTAATATTTCGCTTCCCTGCGTTGAGAAGATCGATTTTTACGGTTACTCAATCTTGAAATATCTCTGTATTGAATTACTAAATAGGACACATTTCCTCATTAAAAGCTGTAATCATTTCAGTTTCAAATATTTCATGTTAGCATCGAAAATACCATAATTTATGTATAAAAATCTTTTTAAAAAGCTTGTTTATTAGAACCTTTGAGCAAATCAATGTTAAACAGTATGCTAAGATATATTTATTCAATGCATATCCTAGAGATGTACGCAATAAAACTTAATAAAAGGGAATGCATTCTTTTAAATACTAGTAATATTTTTTGATAATATATCTTTCATGTTTTGATTTTCTTTCATCAAATAGATGATTTCAATAATGCATAATATAAAGGACTTTCATGCATTCTTGTGTTTTCCATCAGAGCATATAAACATATAAAGGAGAGTAAGTAGCTCAACATGCTAATAAAAATGTCAATATGAAAGATAATAAAGTAAACATGCTGTTTGCTAATTCTTTAAGCAAATATTATTTTAATATTGATAAGTTTGTTCAATAATTTCAGTTTCACACATTATAAACGCAAGATGCTATATATATATCTTGCCATATGACTCAATTATTCAAACATTCAAGTTGACATAATGATATCGCATGTCAACTAAATTAGCTTGCATGTTGACATTATTGACACAACAACAGAAATATATTGCATCTTGAATGTATTATTTCATACACTGACACGTTAAGAGATTATCCATATTTAAATCAGTAAGCATTCTGAATGTATACTCAAACGCCCTAAAATTGATATTAAAATATGTGTGTGGACAATATCTATGTGATTTTTTATCTGTTAAAAATCCCATGGGTACCATTTGCGTCCCGTTACTAGGAGACCTGTTTTTGTATTCATATGAAGCAGAATTTGTTCAAAATTGTTAAAAAACACTTGCTGTGGCCTTTAACTAGCTATAGACGTTAGGATTTATGGACAACGTATTGTTGATTAACAATGCGTACTAGTATTTCCATTCATATGTCGATACGATATATCCCGTTAAGCTTGAAATAAAAGATAGCACAGGGTATGATACATCTGTTTCATATCAGGATATTTTACTTGAAAAGATATTAATGGTAAATCTAACAACAAAGCTTTATGATAAACGTGATGACTTTCACCTTTCATTCGTCAACTCCCCTTACCTATGCAGCATATACCCCGCATTGTATATAGGGTTTATATCTCTCGGTTGGTTCGATACGCAAGAGCATGTTCTACGTATGAACAGTGTCTAAAACAAGGTACGTTATTGACAAACATGTTGAAACGAAAATATCAATGTTCTCATTTGAAGTCATCTGATTTCTTTTAAGTTATAAAGCCGAAACAATGACATTGTCAGCAAATACAATCATTCATCAGGTCTAATGGTGATTCACTTTTTATTCACTACATCACATGTTATTGTTTAGCCATTATTTACACACTGAATTCTCGATGGATTTTTAAATTTTTTTTTATCATAACAAGAAGGGCACTGCAAGTTTGACAGATAGGCAGAGGATACTCACTCCTCAATAGCACCTGATCCCAACTCTGTAAATTAGAAGTCAACTTTTGCTCTACTCCTGATTTGTATTGTTTAAGTGGACGTCTGATCTTGAATACCCTTCGTTTTTTCTAATATATTTCATCAAAAGATGGGTACTTATATGTTAAATAGTTTTGCAAGGCAGTGTAATTATTTTGCATTTAAGAGGCTGTAATACGCCACAATACTACACAATTTATTTAGCGATAACATGCATACTATGGACAAGTTTACGTGAAAGACATTTAAGTAATCTTCAGAATATGGTTTGAAAGATCTTCTAGATACAATTGAAATAGACGAATAATTCAGAACAGTCTGGCTTCCCTTAATGTTCTTTACATCGAATTATAATAATTTCCTGTTGGAATGATTACATACACCTGAGTTGTCAAACAAATATTTCCCTTTCTCTGAATTTTTGTAGATTATCTATTGAGATAGGTGGTTTTTAAAACTCATTTGATTTTTTTTACATTGCATCTTTATTTTTCAAAATGATTTTTTTCTTTATAACTTCATGTACGTCTATATTTTAAAATTTAATTTGGTCAGGACGGCTCTCATGTCTTATAGAATAGATTTATATATTTACGTCATTTTTCGTGTTATCGATTTACAATTTTACCCAGATGGCCGTCTTTAGAATCCAGTAAATTGCGTGAGGAATTTTTACGGTAAGCAAGCATCCTTTCAAATCTTCCCTGATAGGTTATTTTTCCTGAGCCCTTAGTCAAACAAAAAGAGCTATTGATAAAGAGATCATAACACATTTTCAATTTAAGTCTACAGAAAAAGTCTTAAAATTACAAGATAAAACCAAAAAAAAAAAAACATTAGTATAATTTACAGTTAATATTTAGACTTTTAATGTTGTATACTAGTATTTACTATATGAGTATGGCTGTTAGCAGCAGAATAGAAAAAGGGAGACAAATTTATCATATAAACGTTACGTTTTACTTACAATTGTTGCATTTCTTTCTCGTTAGTGTATGACCGGAAAAAAATGACTTGTTTTCTCTTCCTAGGATCTCTGGACCCTTTTTGGTCCTGTAATTGTTATCTGGCTTCTTTTTTACATTTTAGACTTTTTTCGTACACAAAGTGTGTCGAGAAAAAAGAATGAAGGCTGAAGTTATGAAAAGAGGGAAGAAATGTAAGACGATCTCGGTTCCTCTCTCTCATCCAGCCCGATTCTGCCTGGCCGGAAGTGACAGCGGTAGGTATGATAATTGCTGTTAAATTCTGTGTTCATTACTTTGATGAGCAAGCTATCCCAGATAGGACGATTTCCACCTTAGTTTGGACTTTCAGCAAGGCGTGGCATTCTCGACGTTTCATTATAAGCTTATGAAATTTACACAGCTTTCCTTCACTTTTTAAATATACATGGGATAGAAATTCAGGCAAATGCCAATTAGTGTATCGAATAACCAATAACGTTGTCTCGTCCGGCAAAGAGGTGGAGCTTAAGTCGTCTTATCGTTGTCAACAACAATTTAAAGTTGCTGATCTTATTAATTTCTTAACCAAGGAGAATCTTTTCGCCATTTGACAGACGCTAATTACATAGCTCCGAGAATGCCACGCCTTAGTGAAAGTCCAAATTAAGGTGGAAACGTCCTACCTATTTAAACAATCGTTAACTTCCTCTTTTCATTGCCTTTACAGTATTCAAGGATTGCACAACATTGATATTCCCTCACTAAACCGTGTTAATTAATTTATAAATAACACTTACTGTCGTTCACCTTTAACTTTTTGACCCTAGTTCAATACTCTTTCTTCTCAGTATGAGTATCACAAATCTTTTTTTTAAATACAAGAGTAAAAAATCTAAAACTCTGAGCCTCAATTGAATAAGTTTGATACTCGTGTCAACGATATAAACTATGTGGCAAATTGACTGTAAGATCACAATGATTTCCATTACCGAAAATAATACTTCATACCATTATATCTTTAACATATACAAGAAATATTTTTTCATTAAACCTCATCAATGCAAAACATTTTTAAAGTTCACACAAACTTTCAAATTTGGCACTTATCGAAAGCAGACTATGTCCTTCAATTTTGTATTGCCAAGAATAAAAGCTCTTAAAGGAGATTATAAGGGGCGAGATAGAATATTTCTTTCTGATAAACGATTCACAGAATTTTGTTTTCTTTTCTGTCAATTAATGCCTATAGACCAATTAATCAGATGATGCATGCAATTTATGGAAATAGTATGATTTATATGCATTACAAACCTTTTCAATTCTAAAAATAACATTGAATTGAATTATTATTTTCATTTTACTGTTTAAAAGATTCAACTGATTACACCATGGAAGAACTTTCAGACTTGCACACATTCCCCTGTGATGTCATGGTATCTCCCCAATGTAATTTCCGGATTAAATTGAGTGAAAACAAAAAGATTAAGGAAACTATAGTACTCCGTCTGAGGGGAACTCACGAAGAAACGTATCTACTCGGAAATCCTATCACTGAAGGTATATATCAAGCTCATTGTTAATCAACGCACGAAACATTCTTTTAAAATTAATTATTACAATCTGGGTGGAATATTCCTGTAATATAAATCAACTTGTTCATCTCATTCTCGTAAGATTTTACCTATAATTTGACAGATAAACATATAATTCATATTTGGTCTCTTTTTCTATTCTTCCTATTGGAGGAACGATGTGAGTTCATTCTTCCGAATTACATGTCTGACTTAAAAGTGCTCTATAATATCCATCCTAACCCTAATATTTTAGTTCAAAGTTATTTTGCATAATTATTTTCCTTTCCATGAACCTACTCTGTGGGGAAATGTGATCTGAAGACATAACGAACAGTGATCTATACAAAACTAAAAAAAATATATTAACGATACAGATATGAAGGACATGGAGATAACGAACAGTATTCAATATCAAAGTCCATAAAACAATACAAAATAGGAACAGAGCAAACACGGACCTCAAAAACATCAGAGGTGGGATTAGGTTCCATGGAGGAGTGAGCATCCTCTGCCGACCGGTCACACCCGCCGTGTGCTTCTTGCCATGATCGGAAATAACGGGAAAAAATCCGTCGTCAATTCAGTGTATAAATAATGGACTAACAATTACCATTAAAATACGTCAGTCAGTAATTGACTCAATGATAAATTGTATTTGCTGACAAGGTCATTGTATCGACCATAGATATGTGAAGAGTGCACTAAGCACGGACCCCGGGAAATTATAGAGATGGGATCAGGCGCCTGGGAGGAGTAAGTATCGCCGATCTTGACTGGTTACACCCGCCGTGTGATCCATTAAACTAATAATATATTGATCGGGTAGACGGAATTTTCCGTAGTCTATTCAGTATAAAAACAAAGGCCTTAACAATTGGTTTGATACAAGTCAGCTTATACACGGCCCAACGATAGGGTTATATTTGCTTACAAGGTCATTTTAACGATCATAAAATTTATGAAATGCTGACTTTAAACGTGATTTTTAAAATTTCCTGTAACATCAACCTATCAGTGAGTAGCATAGCATGCCTCGCTTTAAACTTGCCCATATGAGAGCAAGCTCACGAGTAGCAAATACGTTGGGAGACATAAAGACTATTAGCAGGTTTTTATGTAATATTACTTACTTACATAAGGAAAGTCGACGATAGAAAAACTGAACTTATCTCTATTGTCATACAATTCAGTTGTTCATTGGCCTTCATTGTCTACAAAAAAAGAGGAAGTTGATACATCATACAATGATTACATGGTCTTGAATGAAATTAAATTGAAAAACATATATCTCATGTCCTGTTCAAATCTTGTAATGAAGACATATTATATGTCATTCTTTGCACAAAAAGATACAAGATTCCTTTGTTTGTAAATGAAATACTGTAATAGTTTATAGCACTTGAGACAAATGGACACTCGGGTACCTAACCTTTTTCATGATCTGTTTTTATGAACAGAACGTTCGAAAATACGTCTTTTTTCTAGATATATCGCACATGTTTTTGAAAAAAAAAATCCAGTTTTCTGTTTTCTTAGCAGCTGTCACTAAACTTAGTGACGAAGTGGTGCAGATTTCCCGTGGGCCCACGTTGAATGTGGTGACAGGAATAGAGGGGGTTCCAGGAGAGTGGCCCACGTATCTCCGACTCATATCTAATGTCCTGGCCTCCCATCAAACGGACACTGGGGACTCAGGCATGTATTCACTAATGTCTATCATACCATACACTATAACTAAATAGGTATATGGTTAATTATTGTGGCATGCTATGTTCAATTACGACAGCAAATAAGCTAATAAAATAAATTTAAGCACCCCCACCGTGCCTGCAAGTCACTTTTAACAATAAAACATTCAGAATAAAAAGGACATCACTAAATTTATTTAGCTCTCCTGTGCTAAATACTCAAGTGAATTTCACTGACAAAAGTTGCTAAACATAAATGTTTGATTATTTTATTCTTTGTGTAACTTTACATTTATTCCCATTCTGCTGAAAGAAAAGCATTTTTTTTTTACTAATGACTATTAAGAAAAGAGAAAAGATTTTATTAAAAATACATGTTCACTTTGTCACCAGACAAATTGCTAGGAAAACACTATTTTAAAGATTGTTCAGCTCTTTTTATATGAGAACTTATGCGAACGTATGTGAAATCTGCCTATCATCTTTGTTGTAACTTTTGACATCTGCTTCTTCTTGAGAGAGCCAATGGGCAATGTCAACCTACATGTACATGTAACTTACTTTTTATAAAGCATTTCTACATTGGATATTCACATAGCTCTTTCAAGAATGAAGTTATTTTAAAATATTTACATAAAATCTTGAAAACATTCGGACCATTAAAGATACTTAATGCGAAAGTGCACTATACCGGTATATTGAACAAGTTTCAAGCTTTGTTTAAATCATGACACGGTTAAAAAAACGAACCACAGAGATATAGAAAAATATTTCAAAATCAGAAGTTTTTTGAGTTATATAAAAGCAGATAAAATCAAGATAAGTGTATTTATAAGCAGAGCTACTTTTAGTCTTTCGATCTACATATATGCAATGTACCTTTGAACTTCTATTGATGAAAACATATTAATGTCTGAAGAGAAGTGTAAAAATACACATATTTAAAAAAACCTCTGAAATAATACAAATAGACGTCATCATATGCTAAATCATCATCTGATATATAAATTTTGATTTGGATATTTTACTTGAAAAAGACATTAATGGTAATCTAGCAACCAAGCCTTATGATAAACGTGATGACTTTAACTTTTCAATCATCAACTATCCTTACTTACTTATGGAGCAATATACCTTCATCACCTGCATACAGGGTTTATATCTCTCAGTTGATTCGATATGCAAGAAACATGCTCTATGTATTTCTAAAGCGAGGTAAATTATTGAAAAAGAAGAATATCGGCAGTCTCGTTTAAGGTCATCATTTCGTAAGTTGTATGGTAGATAAAATGACCTTGTCAGCAAATATAATTTATCTTTGAGTCAAATGCAGACTGATTTTTTTCATACTAATTGTTAGTCCATTATTTACACACTGAATTGACAACTGATCTTTCTCTTATTTCCCGATTATGACATGGAGCACACGGCGTATGTGACTGGTCGGCAGGGGATGCTCACTCCTCCATGGCACCTGATCTAACCTCGGATGTTTTGGAAGTTCGTGTTTGCTCCGCATTCCTATTTTGTATTGTTTCACTTTGTTGGACGTTTGAGCTTGGATACTGTTTGTTATCTCCATCTATTTTATGATATAGCTTGGAATATATTTTTTAAGAATGACCCACAGGCTTACATGTATTATTCAACCTGATTCGTCATGATACTAAGTCAGCAGAGCACTCGCTTCCTGTATGGAAGGCTGTGAGATCGAATCTCGGAAGCGACTGGCCTAAGTCGATACGAGATAATTGGCAACTGTTCCTTTCGTTATGCGCTCGGCACATTGAAGTGAAAGTTGCGAGTTCTTCGGAACAGACCTTAAAAAAACCCAAGGCCCCGTGTCACGGTATACGTTGGTATGATAAAGATTAGTCAGTCGATCATCAATGGCCGTTAGTGCTAAGTAAAGGTCAAATTTGAAGCTCTTCACCGGTATATGGTGACATCTCTATATATTAAGTGAAATATTTATTAATACAATATAACAAGTATAACAATATACAATCAATCAATCAAAAGGTTTTGAAATATAAGCATCATACTTGTACAAAATTTGTTTTTTCTAATTTGCGTTAACTTTCAGTAACTAATATTTATTGTTTCTCCTTTTGTAGATTTTACGCCCTATAAAGAATATAATCCAAATATTGTTTTGTCTGACTCTCACCCCGTCTTGTGTAATTATGTGGCAATCTCGGATGATTTCCAGCAAGGGGATAGTCATAAGTACGAAGAAATACAAAAACATAACAAGAAACGTACTGATTATGAAATCATCTGGATCCCCAAAACTGGCAAGCAGATATGTGACACTAACCCGGAAAGTCAATCCAAACTCACAAGTGCATCAAAAAAGAAAAGTGAAAGTACAAGTGACCTTTATGAAGTAAACTGGGACCCAGTTACAGGGAGGGCATTGTTAAACGGAGAACTTTGGAATACTTCAACTGGGACAGAGCAACAAAAATCAGCTACAACACCCAGAGATTACAAACCAGAGGTGTCAAAAAACAATGACTTCTCAAAAATACAAACTACACCTACTCCGGAATTTCAGAAAGCTTCTATACTTATTTCAGATCTCCCTAAGCCAAAACCCAAGAAATTTTTAAGTTTGAGGAAGGCAGAGAACGAAAAACCAGATGGTCACATGCTACATAAACTTAGGAAAGCTCGAAGCGAAGACGGTGAAAGTGGACCAAGGTTTGGGCAGTTAAATTCAAACTCGAAAGATATCCATTCAAAAGATAAAGCCATAGAGCGCGTGCGCGCCCTACCGACAATGTCTATTTCAGACGTATCATACTGGCTGAAGATTTTAAAAATTAACTGTGTGGATAAGTTTGTAGAACAGGCAGTAGATGGCGCTCTTTTGATGGATTTATCGGACGATTTACTGATGTCGTCGGATTTTGGAATGTCCAGGATTGAAGTGTTGAAACTGAGAAAATTTATCAAAGAAGGTCACGTACCAAAATCATAAAGAACTGAAATCCTATATCGGCACCGGAAATCCTTCTTTTACTCGCATATGTTTTCTTTCTTTTTTATATATGCATGTTCTTCATGTATGAATATTTCATAATGTGATCATTGTAATTAACTGTAACTGATAGCAACTCCTTCTGTTAACAGCAGCACAAAAAGAAATTAAACGCGAAGTTTAAAAGTTAAGATTTCAGTAAATAAAAATGGCGTGTCTTTCTTTACTTTTACTGATATCATATTTATCCTATTTTATTTGTTTCTAGATGCATGACTACCTGCTATTTCTTGTTTGTAAATGATAATTTTTGAAGTGGACTATAAATCTTATATTCACATTAATGTTTTGACATATATTTCTACAATCATAGAAATAAAATAAATCTTCTTTTTTAATCGGTTGAATATTTATGTAAATCATTGTCTTTCCCCCCTACAAATACAGGATTTTATTTCATTCAAAATGAATTCAATTCAATAAAACGGATATTGGTTTATAAGGTAATAATTCTGTCCTAATTTTGATAAAGCCAAATTGTCCGTGAAAAAAAAAACAAAAATAGTTTTTTCTTCCTTTTTTATTGTGTCACTTGAGGAAATTACCTCAGCGAAAGAGCGAGGGAGGGAGGGAGGGAGAGAAGGGCAGCATGTCGAGGCCTATTTCCTGATTTAACCTGTTGTTTTGTACCTTTCTCACCGTATCGTTATATTTTTTATGGTCGCTGACCATTCGGCAGTCTGGGGAGAAAATTATTTATATGGTGAGGAAATAAAGGTAGAATGTCCAGTATAGGGAAATATGACGGAAAAACTTATTTTCTTTGATTTTACTGCGATATCAACTCTGGATCTTATTTAAGCATTATGGAGTTTAAGCGACGTAATCAAAATCTGACCAATCACTGCACTCATGCTCTTTAATTTTCTTAAGAGCTTGACATTTATTAACGTTGTATCGTACATAGTTTAATAAGGGATTGTATTTAAAGAGAGGCAGTTTATCCCTGAACATTTACAGAGCCAGTTGTCACAATGTCACTCTGGTGTGTGGTTTTATTATGTCTTGTGTCTTCTTCAATTCCAACCTCAGGTAATCAATTAATTTATTAACCTTGAGGGATAAATGATATTCAATATTCTTTTTTGCGTTATGAATAATTTCACCTATTTAATTGAATTTTGAATATATTAGTTTCAAGAATGAGTTAAGTTAGACAAACATTTTGTTACTTTCATCATTTACCTTTCAAGAGAAAGTTGTAATTCTTACTGTTGAAAGTCTTCTGTCCTTCTGACAGAAGTTTTTAATCATGTATTTGCCATATGTACAATGTGTTCTTTCTAAATTTTCAATTCTACTACATGTAACTATATCCGAATGTAAACTAGGTAAAAATAAAGTATTTACATGTACATGTCATTGTTTTCTTTTCAGGGTCACATTCTGGATTTAGGTCCAACGTTTTGCCAGTTTACCGTAGAATCTCGCCTTCCAAATTAAACAGTTTACTTCCCAGTTATCTAAAGACAATGGTCAATCGGAAGCCTATTAGCAGGCCCCGCCCACCATTTTTGTTTTCTTCCTCGAACAGGATTCCTATGGTTATTAAAGGTGGATCTAAGAGTCCCGTTATTTCCAAAACTTTTTTGAATCGAGGTTGTCCTGTCCTTCGATGTCCGGATTTGAGGATTCGTTCCGGATGCAAGGTGCCCGTTTTATTCCGATACAATGGTAGACTGTGTCGTGGATGCTACAGAAATATCTGCTCGAACTTCACGTGGAGGAATCAACAGTAAAAACGACAAAACATGTCTCTTGGAAAAAAAAATTAATTGGAGGCAAGTATTTGTTTAAAAATTATTTCATAAAGTAGGAAAAATTAAATGTCGTAACCTAAATGCTTATTTTCAGCAAATAAACAAAGACATATAAGATTCCTTCGTTTCTTGACATAAAACTAAGCATTTAAAGAAGATGAATCAAGTTTAATTGTTTCAAAAAATCAACATGTGGTTACCAAATGAAAACTTCATTTATACAATCATTAATAATATACCTTTGCTGTAGGGATGATTAACGTAAAGCGAACAATTAATTAATTGTGCCAAACATCTTCGTCATACGCCTTGAGGTTTTGTTCGTGGTAATCTCGGACAATTAAAACAATAAATGTCTAATTTTTAATAAACATTGCTTTCTTTTTCTTGCAGCAGATATTCATCTATCTGGGCATCACTTTAATAATAAGCCGCCCATGAGAGAATTTTCTGCTGTTGTGATAGTATTCCAAGACTATTATAGAGACAGAGACTGTGAAGAAAACAAAGTCCTTACTTTGATGCTTTCCCAGTGGTGCTATGAATTCCTTTTTTGTGTATTAATATTTTTCCATCTTCCTGTGATGTTGTGAATTCCTAAAATGTATTAAACTATGAAGTATTATCTACTGTGTTGACACGTTAAAATTATTTAAAAGTCCGTGTAAATTTATATTACAACTGTATATATATATATATATATTTTTTATAATAAATGAATGTTTTTGATTATTGTTCTAATTTACCAAAATAGAAGCTACTCAACAAACCATGTTTTAACCTCATGGATTGAGTGGTAAAAAGATATGGTTAGATTTTTGTCTTTTTATCAGAGGTTGTCAGTTTTTCCGTAAATCACTTTTAATTCAAAAGGTATGTCCTTTCATCAGAGGAAGACTGATTTTAAAGGGGAAGGACGGCCAAGAAATATTTTATTGTAATTCTTGTATTCACTACCACCCTGTAAATTCCGAAATTTCAATATTAGAAAACTTTTTTAAGGTTGGTCCATTTATCAGAAATTAAAATTATTATTTTAAATTATACATAAAACATAGAGAAATCGTTTCTGATTTATTTATCATTTAGTTTTCATCTTCTGTTGGGCATTTTCTAAAGTTGTGTTACAGACAAAAGACACTTCATACGAATACCCAATATCCGTTATTTCCTAATCGTGACAAGGAGCACACGGCTGATGTGGCCGGTCGGCAGGAAAAGCTCACTCCTCAATGGCACATGATCCAATATCTGATGTTTCGGAGATCCGTGTTTGCTCTGCTCCTATTTTGTATTGTTTAATGGGCCTTTGAGGTTGAATACTGTTCGTTTTCGCCATATATTTCATATACAAAAAGAAAGAACAATATATCATAAGAGTTAGAGTTGCTATAAATTTTTCAGTCTTTTGATATATTAAATTAAAGGCAGTTTAAGAATTAAGAAAGACAGGTTCACCGTTTTGAACAAGTTTAATAAGATTCTATTTCAAACGTAGATAGAAATCATTAACAGCTTCTTAAGATTACTGACCAGCAGTTTCAAAAAAAAAAAAACACAAATTAAAACGTTGCCAATTTCTTTTGATGAACGAGAATCACATGTGTTGTGTTATTTACATATATCAGTATAATTTTGAAAATTATAACATTAATTGTCATAGATCTGCACCTTTCCTTACGTTAACATGTCCTCAATTTGTTATATAAGATTGCATCATGGATCAAGTGCAATAGTTTCCCCCACTTCACTGTAGGATTTCTTCATTCAAATTTACCCTGGCCAGCAGTTTTTCTACATTTATTTTCTAGACCTCAAAATCCAATTGTGTGCAAAAAGGGAACAAACCATTAACTTTGCCATATTTTTATTATATCAAAAAATTTAAATCAACTGAAATCCTTCGAAATTTCTTGATGAACCGTAAAATTAAAGTAGATAAATATATATTATTTTCAACCTAGAATTTCACAGAAATGTACCTAGGCAATTCTTATCTCTAAAACAAACGAAGTTACAACAAATGAGCATTACATTATACCATCATAAATAATAAACATATTTAACTTCGCTGCAGGGATGATCGAGGTCATGCAAACAATTCATTAATTTTTCAGTGTTCCTTATGTATACACTTGATAACTTTTTCATAGTTTACCAGAGGAATTGTTTTAGTTTTTAAATGACCATCGTTTTCCTTTTTCTTTCAACAGATATGTACATGTGGGTAGCAGATCATTCCGAATTTAGTATTTCTAGTAGAAAATCTTTGTGTGGGAATGGCCATTTATAAAGGCGCAAGAAATTGGCGTGGAAGATTTTGACTTAACGTGTCCCAAACTTACTGTTATAAATTACTACAATGACTTTTTTGTTTAATATTCCTGTGATGTGTATTCCTGGTATAATTTTAATTCACATTTTTTAAATACTCAATCTTTTAAATTTCTTTAATGTTTTTAAAATAAAGTAATTTTGTTATCTATTTGCTGTATGTGTTTTAAACAATGTATACTAGTAATTTGGTCTAAATTGATTTTTACACTAAATCCATGTTTGAACAGACATTACAATTTATTTTAAATTCCTGGTCGTTCTGCTGTCAAAGTAATGCTAGTCTGTCCAACAGATCCAACTGTTTCATTTAGTCAAATGCGTACTGACGTTTTTCATACTTTCATTATTTACACATTGAATTGTCGACGAATGTTTCAATATTTCCCTATCATTACAAGAAGCACACACAGGTACGGTCGGTCGACAGGAGAAGCTCACTCCTCTATGGCATCTGATCCAACCTGTGATGTATTTGGACGTCTGTGATTTGTTCTGCACCAAGTATTGTTTAATGAACTTTTGATCTTGATTACTGTTCGTTATCTCCAAATATTTCATTCCTAAAGAGGTATTCAGTCGTAAGGAAGAATCATGTACATGAAAATAAGGAATGGTAACTGCGACAGTAATGTTCAGGAGAGCTTCATATTTATTATTTATATTGTTTAACAAATTGTACATACCCGGTGAAACATAAATGTTTTTGTAAAAAATGCAAGAGCTCAGTTTAACAAAACTTTAACCTTGGTTATAACTTTTGAAAGTTAAGGGTTAGGGCTTTCATACTTCACATAGTTAATTCTGAATCATGTGACAAGACCTTTCATTTGATACCAAGAACTTTGACCCTTTGACCTTGACACTGGAGGTTAACCTACATTTTTTTAAAAGCTTAAACCTTGGCCATATCGTTTGAATAATTAGGGCTTTCACATTTATAATCCTTGTGACAAGACCTTTCTTTATTAACCAACAACTTTGACCCTTTGAACTTGAACCTGGAGTTTGACCTACCTTTCAAAAACTTATCCTTGGCCATAACTTTTGAACAGATGATGCTAGGGCTTTCATTTTGCGCCATTGTATTTCTGGTGAGAAGACCTTACTTTGGGTTTCAACATATATAGTTTGCATTTGATTAAGAAAAAAATTATCTTCGCTAAGTTGCCATACGGGGGCAT